GAGTCATATTCTGGGAGCACGAAGGCTGATTTTGATTGAAAACCCACACAGTAAACTCTCTCCCTGCTCCTTCATTTAATACTCAAAAATAAATATCAACTTATTTTTCAAGCACGTTTGTGCACCTTGACCTGACAGAGGAGCTTTCTCCCACGAAGGACTCCTTGGCCGCAGTCCTGTCCGACTAAAACAACCATCTGAGAACTACACTTGAGATCCTAATGTCTCCCGTGACATAAGGAAAAATCAAGGTGTCCATGATTTTCCTTCTAACGTATCTCTCCCAGTACGTGGTGGTGCCTGAGCCCTTAGGAAATCAGAGAGTGGTACCGAAGGCCTCCTGACCATCCTGAGCGTACCACGACCTAGACAGCGGTCATCTGGGGCCACCTCTTTCTCTCTCTCTCCTCCTTCAGCCGGAAAAGCTAGCTAACAGTTACAAAGATAAACAAACAGACCGGCTTGCCAGATGTGCGTGTTGTTTATTAACAAACAATGGCAAAGCGTTGCTTCCCCGGACAGTGAGCAAGTGTGTCTCTTAAAAGTGTGCCTCCGAGCTCTAAATAAAGAGGAATTGTTCTCTAGAAAAAGATAATAAGTCTTTTGGAGCCACAAAGTGAAGTCATCACGGCACTTTTCTCCTATCAGCAGAGATGGGAAATGCCATCTCTGGGGACCCAGAGAAATGCGGATGACTTTCTCCTGGAAGCAGGGTGCTTTCATTTCTCTTCGGCAGTAATAACAGACTTTTAAAAATGCCTGATGGTATCTCAGCAGACAGCGAAACTTACTTTCATTTCAACTTTTGGCTGGACCTTAAAAATATACGGGTAGAGTCTATGAATACAATAAAAGCATCCTTCCAGATTTTTTAGGATTCTCCCAGTAAGCAGGGGCCGCTGAGATAAGAATCAGAGGAAACCTAAATTAAGCAAGCACTAACTTTAAGAAAAACTACAACGACAAAGCTTCCAAGAAGGTTTTACTGTGCTGCAAGAGATCGCCCTTAGACTGTGAAAATGTTTATTATTCACACTCCACAATTAGGTACAACAGCTGCTCGTTCTTACACTATTTATATATAATAGACCACTGATTTTTAAAACTCCATAAAAAAGCAAAATATGGCAATGATGTGAGAACAGCCAAATCCAAAAAAAAGGAAAAAAAAAAGAGAGAGAATAAACACTCAATTGAGGACAGTCAACCATCTGGAATTTTAAATAAAACTCAGATTCCCCAGATGAAAACAAAGGAACACAAGACTTGAAAAGGGCAAAGAAAAAAGGGGCTTGCAGAAAATATGTCTGTGACAAATATTATAATCTCCTCAAAATCCACAGCGTGGTGGGTCTGAACACGAGCAGCTTCTAAGCCTGACTTGGGATTAATTAGCACAACCAGGAATCCTTGTTGCAGAGACATGGCCGGGGACCGGGGAGGAAACTCAACCCCCATCAGCCCCGCTTAAGGGAGCCACCCCAACCCCAAACCATAGACCTAGAAGCGTTCGTGATGGCAGCGCATTCTCATCTGTGTGGGATGGTCATATGATTAAATAAATATGATTTATTCAGGAAGGTCCATTTTCCTCAATCTATTTATAACGCAAATACTGTCTCAGTGAACATGTTTCACGTTCCTAACATGCCTACCTCCCAGTGTCAGGCTCAGTTGCTTAACCCTACTCATCCCCTCGACCATCTGGGCACCGGGCAGGGGACCCCACGCGCGGTCCAGCAACCAGTGCCAAGTGGCCTTTGTCCTCTTCTGGGGTGCCATCTCCTCACAGCTCCTGCCATTCTCATGCTGGCTTTTGCAACTCAGATCTCTCCACACATTGACAATTCACCTGGACTCCAGGAGGCTTGTATCTGTTCTTCAGAATAATCCCTTCTCT